ACGTGTATAGTCACCATTTACCTTGATGAAAACAGGTATTTGCAATGAGTAAGTTGTTAGTCTTGCAAAATTCTATCATTTGATCTCCAGCATCGTTTCTGTCACCTAGGCTGTATTTCCCAACTACCAATCCTTCTTTGTTTCCAACTTTCTCATTCCAATCACGTAATTATCAGTGCATCCTGATTGCATGTTTGATCAATTTCAGACTGCAGAAGTGGGTAAAAATCTTCAATTTCTTCATTTTTGGCCTCAGTGGTTGGTGCGTAAATTTGAATACTGATCTTTCTTGTAGGCACATGGATATTATCCTATCACTGACAGTGTTGTACTTCAGGATAGATCTTGAAATGTTCTTTTTGACGATGAATACAACACTATTCCTCTTCAATTTGTCATTCCCGGCATAGTAGACCATATGATTGTCTGATTCAAAGTGGCTAATACAGTCCATTTCAGCTCACTAATGCCTAGGATATCCATGTTTATGCTTTCCATTTCATTTTTGACAATTTCCAATTTTCCTAGATTCATACTTCGTACATTCCACGTTCCGATTATTAATGGACGTTTGCAGCTGTTTCTTCTCATTTTGAGTCATGCCACATCAGCGAATGAAGGTCTCAAAAGCTCGCGTCCATCCACATCATTAAAGTCGACTCTACTTTGGGGAGGCAGCTCTTCCCTAGTCGTATTTTGAGTGTCAACCTGAGGGGCTCATCTTCAGCCACTATATCAGACAATGATCTGCTACTATTCATAAGGTTTTCACTGGCTAATTCTTTTCAGAAGTAGACTGCCAGGTCCTTCTTCCTAGTTTGTGTTAGTCTGGAAGCTCAGCTGAAGCCTGTCTGCCATGGTTGACCTTGAGGGTATTTGAATACCGGTGGCATAGCTTCCAGCATCACAGCAACACTCAAGCCCCCACAGTATGACAAACTGACAGACGTGTGTGGGGGGGTCTCACAGTCTAGGAGGCTAGAAGTGCCAGCTTCAGGGGAAGGCTTTCTCTCTATGTTGGCTCTGGGGGAAGGTCCTTGTCATCAATCTTTCCTGGTTGAGGAGCTTCTCAGTGCAGGGACCCCGGGTCCGAGGGACGTGCTATTCTCCTGGCTCTTGTTTCTTGGTGGTATGAGGTCCCCATGTCTCTCTGCTGACTTCTCTCTTTTATGTCTCAAAAGAGATTGACTTAAGACACAGGCTAATCTTGTAGATTGAGTCCTGCCTCATTAACATAACTGCCATTAATCCCACCTCATTAGCATCATAGAGGTAGGATTTACAACACATAGGAAAATCACATCAGATGGCCAAATGGTGGACAATCATACTGGGAATCATGAACTAGCCCAGCTGACACATTTTTGGGGGACGCAATTCAATCCATGACACCAGCTGACATGCAGCTGCTGGGGGAAAACATTTGTTGTGTAAAATGAATTCCACTTGGGTGAGGTAACCTGTTGCTAAGAAGTGTTAGCCATTTCTCATTCCACTCCTGGTCCCCAAATAGCAGCAATTATACTGCAGGTAACATTTGTGAAGTCGAGGTGAAATTTCTGAGGTAAAAATAAAAAAAACAGAAAAACTCTTTTGGAACAACCCACCCTGGAGGACTGGCAAGTGGCCTATTCTCCAGGGGCCAAGGATATGAGAACGTTTCAGTCAAGAGCATCGAGTCTGTAGAGAAAGGCCTTACCATAGCAGTACTGTGTGGGGAGCTGCCCCGGGGAAGCAGCAGTTTGACAATATCCACGTTGTTGTGATGAACAGCCACGTGCAGAGGAGTCCAGCCATTCTACACAGGGGTCAAACACAAAAGAGAATAGCCTTCATTCCAGGGAATTTTCTTTCAGGGATTCCTTTAGCTATGTTGCTGTTGTGGTTGGCTGCTGTTGCGTAGGTCCCCTGCACAACGGGATCGGACCATTGTGATCCATAGGGTTTCCATTGGCTGAATTTTTGAAGTAGATTGCCAGGCCTTTCTTCCTAACCTGTCTTAGTCTGGAAGCTCCGCTGAAACCTGTTCAGCATCATAGCAACACACAAGCCTCCACTGACAGATGGGTGGTGGCTGTGCATGAGGTGCATCAGCCGTGAGTCAAACTCGGCTCTCCCTCATGGTGGTGAGAATTCTACCACTGAACCACCAATATCTCTCTTTAATCTGGTTAAAAATAATTCCAGAGCCAATCATGACCTGGAGTCACTAAAAGGTACAACCAGCTTTAGTCTTTGTTCTTCCCTCTAACCTAAAGGAGGGAGAGAATTTCGGACTCACTTTTCCAGCAGCGTTTGGATGTTCTAGCAGCAACTCTGCCACCCTGACCTTCCCGTACTTAGCTGCCACATGGAGAGGGGTAAATCCTTTCTGAGGAGAAACACAGGCTGTCAGGACCGCGGGAAGACACAGCTGTCCTCCCTGGAGAAAGGGCCCATGGCAAAGGAGGTTTACCACCTTAACTGGCATGGAGATGCCAATAAAATGAAGGACAAAGCAATTTTTGATCCTTCCAAGAGGCCAAGAAGCTTGGGAATTAGCAGCTTCCTTTACCACTCATCATTAGTACTTCTCTGTGATATAGTATAAAGCCATCATGCATTGTTATTGGGATGCTAGCTACTTGAGGGCAGGGACTGAGTCAATCTTTGTTGAATTCCCAGCACCTATCCGTCTTTTGTCTAGAGTACATGCGCAACAAATAATTGTTCTGTGATAAGTGGATGTTGGGTTAGTGCATGCATGAGAAACTATGGTTCACCATTTTTTCTGGGGAAGGATGACAGCACATCAGGCTTGCAGATGGCAGCCAGTCCTCTGGGTGTCAGCCCTCCCAGCTGCTTTCAACGTCATCGTCATCAAGGTAACAAAGAGGATCAGACAGGAACCCCCTCCCACACACAGGCCCAGTTGGGACTAGCCTGTGGCTTCCTGGGAGAAGAAGAAGGAAGGCTGTACCTTGGTCATGCAGGCCTGGGATGCTCTGTATTCCAGAAGGGTCTGGGCTGTCTCCACATGGCCTTCTCGGGCCGCAATGTGCAGGGGGGTGTGCCCGGCGGTAGTGGCCAGGTTGGGGTTGGCATTGTTTTCTAGCAGGAGTCTCACCATTTCTGTGTGGCCGACCCGAGCTGCACAGTGAAGTGGGGTCTGGTCATCCTGGACCCCAAAGTGAAAACAAACAACAGGGAATGTTGAGTTTACCTAATCCAACTCTTCATTTTATAGCGAAGGAAGTTGAGGCCCAGAGAAGTTAAGTGACTTTCGCAAGGTCACACAGCTAGTAAGATGAAGAGCTGGGATTCAAATCAGGTTGACTTACAGAAACCAATATCCTCTATCTTATTTAATCCTTCAAATTAGTTGTTATTTCCACTTAACTACTCAAAGGCTCAAGGAGCTCTGGTGGCACAATGGTTAAGTACTTGGCTGCTCACCAAAAGGTCAGTGGTTCAAACCCACCAGTAGCTCCGTGGGAGAAAAGATGTGGCGATCTGCTCCCATAAAGATTACAGCCTAGGAAACTCTATGAGGCAGTTCTACTCTGTCCTGTAGGGTCCCTATGAGTCAGAATCAACTCAATGGCACACGACAACAACCAAAAGACTCAGCACTCCCATCTGTAAAATGGGAATAATAAATATCTACCTCACACCACTATGGTTCAGATCAGGAAGATATTGTATATGAAGTGTTCCTTGTGGTGCCTGGCACTTAATAAACCATCAAGTTGATTCCGACTCATGGCAACCCCATGCGTATCAGAGCAGAACTGTGCTCCATAGGGTTTTCAAGGCTGTGATCTTTCAGAAGCAGATTGCCAAGCCTTTCTTCTGAAGCATCTCTGGGTCGACTCAAACTTTCAACCTTTGGGTTAGCAGCTCGGCATGTTAAGCACGTGTACCACTCAGGGACTCTTGGCACATGATAGGTAATGAATACATTGTGGTTGTAATTACTGTCTCCCAAATGGTGCCTGAGTGGACGCTCGTCTCTCTGAAGTCCACTTTGATTATCTCTAGGCCTGGGGTTGTGGAAGACACTGCTGAAGGGGAAGATGACGTTGTATCCCCCTTCTGCCCCACTTCCTGTTTATGCCTGATGGCTGAAGAAGGCGTTCAGTCGTCTGGGTGTCTGTGTTATGGGGCCTGGAGGCATCTCTCATGTGGCCCAAACACAAATCACTGACTGAACTCTAAATGGAGCCTTCCATTGTCTGTTGGGTTAGGAAGGCCTGATTCTGGCCACATCCAATCAATTCGCAAACTCATCAGCTTCTTTTTCACTCTCCCAATTCCTCAAAAACGTGTTTTACAACAAGAGGGAATCCTCCATTCTTAAGACCAAGTAATTCCTGGCTTATGTTCATTGGCAACATTTTCTTCAAAAAGTTGCTTCTTTTCTTATACCATGACTGCTCTCATCCTAAAAGCCTTTTAGCCCAATAAACATTGCAGGCCAGGCCAGCCATGCTCCTTGGACTTGAGGCTTTCATTATCCTAAAAAAACCACAGCTCTCTGACCCAAAAATATGGCCTGCAGAATCTGAGAGTTTAGTGCAACCTAAAAGACAATCGCAAATAATCTCCGTGCTACAAGCGCTGCGGCCAGACCTCTAATTAGGATGGATTTCTCCCCGCTGCACTTGAACTGCTTACACTCCAGGATCCTTCCCTTCCCACCTCCAAAACTCACCCTGGCCTTAGCATTGACTTTGGCTTTGTGCTGGAGCAAATATTTGGCCACTTCGGTGTGCCCTGCTCTGGCTGCCATGTGTAATGGGGTCTCCACTTTCTGTAAAATAACAAAATTACAGAAGTGTGAACACATGCTGGGTTTCCAGAAAGACCCTTACAGAGCTCCAGAGTGCCAGCTGGGAGAGTCTTGGCAGGTTTTCATGCAAGAGATGAAGTTTCCCCAGCATGCAGCTCTTTCAGCCTGGTGACGCCTGGTGTGTGTGCGCATGTGTATAAATGTGTGTGTGTGTGTATTCTGGGCACACTGAAAAGAAAACCTCAGAGCTAATGAATGTTAATGTAAATGTATACCCAGATAACACTTACAGAAGTTCTCAAATTATGGTCCAAAATAAAAACTCCAAGATTTACAGATATGTGAAAAGTTTAATTGGGAAAGCATTAGTATATGGGGATGTTCTCCTCAAGTCTGAAGCCCCCACTGGCCTGAGAATTCTACCTCTATCCCAGGAGAGGAGATCTTGGGAGGCTTGCTCTTCCTATGACTCACCACGGCGGAGACGCTGGGCGACGCTCCCCGCTGCAGGAGGTTCTTCACGATGGAAAGGTGCCCCATGAAGGCAGCCACGTGGAGAGGTGTCAGGCCGGACTGGAACACACAAGAGAAAGAAGTCCTTCTCTGCTCCACCAGAGAAGAGAGAAAGCAAGGGCATATCCAATGCTTTCTTGCATTTAGGGGCTCTACAAATGGTTATATAAGAAAAGGGAGTTAAATGAGGTGGGTTGGCTTCCCAGAAAATGGCTGGAGGAAAATCACTGTGGGGCAAGTTCTGCCCACTTTGAAAACTTGAAAAATAGCATCTGACCTTGGAAAGCTCCCTAAGACATGACACATATACCCTCATCTTAGTCACCTCTGATTTATGCCTTCATTCCTTCGAGCAGTCTACGTTTCAATTTTTATCTCACATGTACAACACACAACCTTGCAACTGTGCATGTGCGGAGCTACAACTGAACAGCTCTCCGAGAAGGGAGACATGCATGTTATTGGAAGAAGACAACAGGGCAGGGACCTTACGCTCGTGTGCACAGTGTCTCCTACCTCGGTGACAGCGTCAATCGAGGCTCCGGTCTTCAGCAGCAGCTCCATGACACGGTTATGGTTCTTCTTGCAGGCGATGTGTAAGGGGGTGAAGCCATTCTGCAGCCCCACATGAAGGGAGACAAGCAGGAAAGCTTACACACTAGCCCAAGGAACACCCAGAATATCACCTTGCTGTTCTAAAAGGCGGCCTCTGCCACAGCCTCTTAGAAGAATCCCAGAGAATAAAATGCCAGTTAATACAAAGCTTGTAAGAGACAGGGGGCTCTCACTTTATGCATCAGGCATGATCCTGAGCATGTTGTCTATAAACTTTTGAAAAATTGTTATCATATTTTTGGATGCACCCAAAGAGCCTGCTGTTTAAAGTTACCTTAGGGAGAAAGTTACAGTAAGGAGTACTTTTGTGAAGTAGATAATATTCCTTTTCCCCGAAACCACTCATTGTTTTAGTAAAATGGATTTCTGTATATCTGCTCTGCTCTAAAGTGATATACTAGAATGTACACTCCATGAGGACAGGATTTTGTTTGTTTGTTTTACTACTTTATGCCCCTAGGACAGTGGTTTTCAAGCATGGGCAATTTTGCCCCTCAGGGGACATGTGGCATTATCTGGAGACATTTTTGATGGTCACAACTTCACGGGGAGGGTACTGTTGGCATCTAGCGTATGGAAGCTAGAGATGCTGCAAAATATCCTACACTGCACAGGGCAGCCCCCTACAATAAAGAATTATCAGGCTCAAAAGGTCAGCTGTGATGAGGTTGAGAAACCCAGTGCCTGGCAGGCGGTAAATTCTCAGTGAAAGCCTTTTTGAATGAATGAATGAACGAGCTATCCTCTGCCATCCCTGGAGGATACCCTGCCCCTCAATTTCCTCCTCTGTGAATGGCCAGAGGGAGGTGGTGTGTCATGGGCGGCATGTCCTGTGCAGAGTTCCAGGCTTGCTACAGCCTAGAAGACCCTGGGAGGCCCTGGCCTGGGGGAGGATGGAGTGCAACCATAGCCACAGGAGGGAATTTACTTTAGGTCTAAACTCACCTCTCTCCAAATGCCATGAAACTGTCAACTGTAAGCCCCTCTGAAGAGGAAGCATGTTTACTTCAGGCCACTTTAGGCACCTCAAAGCAGGTAAAAAAGCCAGGTTGCCTCTAATAAACCCCTGCCCCTGAGCTTCAGGCCTGCCTCAGACTGGAGAGGGAGTCCCATCCCACATGCATACCATGGACATTGCCTCCTGAGTCAGGTCTCTGGGCCCAAACTACCCTTGACCTCAGCCTGTTACCTTGGAGGTCACGGTGACTGGGTGCAAGAGGTGACACCCAGCTGGAAGTAGAGTATGGAAGGATGAGTCAACTCCAAGCTATTACCCTGCATCTGCACTAACCTGCCTCCTGTGCCAAAGCAGGAACTACCACTTGTGAGGCCCTGAATCTTCAGAGCAGCATCTGGTGCAAGCTGCTGCCCTTCCCTTGGGGCTCAGTCATCAGCTCAGGTCCTGTCCCCTTCTGCCCACGCCCCTCCGCACTTTCTCCAACAGCCTCCCACTCACCAGGGCTCTGGAGTTTGGTTTGGCCCCTTTATCCAAAAGGACCTTGGCCACTCTGTGATGACCGCAGTGGGCTGCCACGTGAAGTGGAGTCAGGTGGTCCAGGGTGATGTCGTCTATTTCTGCGTTGTATTGCAATAGAAGTCGAACACAGTCGAGATGGTCTCCCTGAGCCGCCATGTGAATTGGGGACAAGCCATTCTAGGTGAGGAGGGAGAAACAAGCATTCACAAAGGCTTCTGGGGCAGAACATGGAAATTCAGGACTATGATTCCAACCTCACTCGCTACTTCTTCCCGACATGAGGCTTCCACGTGGCACTTGAGAGAACTTGGTTCATTCAGACCTCCACGCTCTTGCTGGTCTCTTTGACTGCAAATATTCCCCTGTCCACCTAGCCAAATCCCCAGAGCCAGCTCCAACCAGGCCCATCCTTTCCATGAAAGCGTCCCAGACCACCCCAGTCTCTTGAGGGCTTTTGTTATTACACCATCACCACTTATTCACGTATCTGCCTAACTGTATTCATGTTAACTTTTCAGGCCTGTGCAGCTTCTCTCCTTACACGCTTCGCAGGATCAGTGACTGTGCCTAATAGTTCTTCTATGGCCCACAGTGTCTAGTACCTGCAGGTAACACACATCACGCAGAGGCGTAGCTGAGGGGAGGAAAAGTGGGGACTTGCCCCCAGGCACAAGTCCAAGGGGACACCGGTGGTGTCACTAGGGAGATGCGGGGGGTGCAGACGCACTGGGTGATACTGTCGGAGGGGGATACGCCAAACTCCAAATTATGCAGGCCTTGAGCTGCTCCAGAAAGCCCACACCCGCTTCAGCCATGTTTCGGCGCTGCTCTCTGCTGCTGCGGCTCTTGGAATCGGCTGGGATGATTCACCCACCTGCCTGGAGGTGCCGCTCTGGCCACCACCACCCCCGCAGCCCAGACGCCTCCAGAGCCTGCCTGTCAGCCCCCCGCCAGGCGCCTAGGAAGCGGGCTGGTGGGAAATTGGGTGGGTTTTCATTGTCACTATCAACGTCTATTCATCTGGAAATTTAGAGGTTGCCCCTGGCACTCGTTACCCTGCTAGGACTCTGACAGAAACGGAAAACAAAACAAAACAAAACAAAACAAAAAAGCCCGTTGCCATTGAGTTGATTCTTCTGACTCATCGCAATCCTATAGGTCAGAGTAGAATTGCCCCATAGGGTTTCCAAGGAGTGCTGGTGGATTCGAACTGCCGACCTTTTGGTTAGCAGCCAAGCTCTTAACCACTGCTAGGCCCCTGACATAGCAGTCCTTAATTATTGTGGTTTTGAAGGAATTAATGGCAGTGAAATAGAATTGGATCTAAATCCCTCTGTTCTTTGTCCCTAACAAATACATACCACTCAAAAATTCTTTTAGGGATTCTGTTTCTTACACAGCAATTTGTTTAAAAAAAAAAACAAAACAAAACACAGAGGAGACTCAATCACTCACTCATTCAAACATTAATTCAACAAATACTTATTAAGTGATTGATATGCACCAGGATGGGTTAAGCTCTGGGGAAACAAAAGAGAA